CCTGTAAACCTGTATTTTCCATTAATTAGATTTCTTCAACTCATTCTTATGGTCAATGCTCATATATTTAGGGTGTTCATTTCTTGGTAACTCTTTAACACTATCTCTTCCTAGAAGCCTTTTAATTGTTTTAGTTACAGTTGTTCTTGCAAATCTAAATGTTTTAGAAATATGTGAAATAGTACTACCGTCTTTGTAAAAAGTCCAATACATCCCTCATTCCACGTCCAGATTCTGTTAAATTTGACATTTTAATTTTTTAATTTTGTGGAAAATTTCAAAAACTTCAAAACAATTTTTTAAAATAATAAACTCGTATATTCTTATACGAGTTATCTAATCCATCATATGTCAAGATAACATGCGTGGTTATTATGTAAGTTTCTGAGGAACTGGTTTTTTTTGGCAAACAATGATTTTTCAGAAGATTTTTGGTCAAACTTTTTATTTTTTTTTAACTAATCATTTCCTTTAACATGGTTTTGTGGTTTTCCCACTTTATTTATCTAAAGGAATAATAATAACAACTTTTCATGCAGGAATACGATATCCTTATCACTAATTGAGCATGGTAAAGGCCGACTAACGGTATTTTGACCCCTTCCATTTCACAATTATTATTATTTTATAAACAGTATTTTCAAAAGAAAAAAGCCAAAACCCCAAAATTAGAAAACCCAACCAAACAAACTAAGTCAAGACCAGTGTCGATAGTACAACTGTGAATTCTGAAAAAAAATTTTTAACCCTGAAATTTTGTCATGACACGTTGTCCAATAGTAGCTTTAAAAGGAAATGAAAAAATTCGCAATAATAATAATTAATAATAATAAACCCCGTATTTTAAAATGGGAAATTCTATATTATTAATATTTCAGGAATTAATTAATAGGAAGAGTTAAGATTAATAATTAATAAATTTTTGTTTCGAACATAAAAGAAACACAAACAAACAAACAAACAAGCATTCTTCTTCATTCTCTCGAATTTTTGGATTATAAATTGGTTTTTTTTAATTTAATCGATTTCAAATTACGAAATATTGATTACACAACTATCATACATTTTCGTGTAATTGATTTCTTTTTAATTTTGAGTAACTTTGTTTTTATTTAATAATAATTAAAATACATTTCGTAATCTCTTTTAATAGTTTCAAGATTATTATACCCGTGTACCAAGCCTTTTAAACAATCACGCATCAATCTTAAATGTGATTGGTAAATAATTATTAAGGATTTACTAACTATTATTGCGTTCATATTCGTGATAGTGATAGTGATATAAAGTATCAGTTCATTACTTAAATAAACATTATATAAATTTGTGTAAACTTACTATATTTTTTCTTTCTTTTTTATTTGAAAAAGATCCTTCTTTTACAATATCCAACTTTTACTTCCTTTTTTCAAACTTCCTTCTCTTTAAACAATATATGATCTTTACCTGATAACAGGAATGACTTTATTTAAGAGATCAACATCTACATTAAACAACAAGATTTACCCTCACCATTAAAACAAATTACATTCATAAAAAAAACAAAAACCCCCCCACTGTAATATATATATAATTACTTGTATATATATATACACATAAAATTAATGAGAATTGTTTATCAATTCAATTACTTGAACTTTGTAAATTTATAATAAAAATTAATTAAATAATTTTATCAACAAAAAAAATATTAAAACTTCTCACTAAATATGCCGCAAGATGAAAAAAATTCACATGGCCATCTTGATAGAAAAACAAGTGGTAGCAGTAACACTAGAAAAATTACCAGGTTTCTTGGTATTACTGATAATAGTATTGATGAAGCTAATATGTTGGACAAATCTTCAAAAGCAATTAAAATACTTGGATTAAATGATAGTGAATTAAATAAAAAATCTATATCATTGGATAAAGTAGTGTCTGAATTTAGAGGTAATAGTCGTAGCAATTCTTTAAATAGTGTCAGTAATGGCGTTGGCGGATCGGTTATAGTGGCGAGTATTCGTAAACATGTTGTTCATAAAGGATATTTGTCAAAACACACAAATACAAATTTTGTATTATCTAAATCATGGAAAAAACGATATTTCGTTCTAGCAAAAAGTATTCTTTATTGTTTCAAATCAAACGATGCAACATCTAACCTAATAGATAGTTTTGAATTGACATGCGATACTGTTGTATGTGTTAGTGATGTGTTCAGTGGTAAAGCGTGGATTTTAGAGGTTAGCAAACCAAATATAAAGGCTTGGTATTTACAAGCGGATAATGTAAAAGCGTTGAAATCTTGGTTGACGGAATTAAAATCTATTGTAGTAAAACTTAAATATAATGATACGGAATTACCCAGTAACATTAATTCAGCCACGTCTATAAATCTTATCAAAATCAACAGCAATGACAGTCATGGTTACAAAAATAATAGCGATACCAATAAATCCAAAAACCACATCAACATTATTAATAATATAAGCAATGGCAGCAATACTGGCATTAATAAAATTAATAATAGTAGCAATACTACTAGTGTTGTTAATAGTCCTATTAATGAATCATACAATGAAGAATTATTTTTCACACCTAAAACTTCTATTTCAAATACGTCATTCGTCCAAATAGAAAAAGGTGACGACAGTGACAAAGTCATACCAACAACACCATTACCGCCGCCACCAAGACACGGTATGATTATAACTCCTTTGTCACCAGCTCCTAGACCAAGGTCTCAATCATCGTCATCATCTTCACCTACCACAGATTTATCGTCATCACCTAGGCCATTATCTCCTTATATGATGATGTCAAATACAATGACAATTGACGAGGAAATGCCAAATAATGAAAATGAAAACAAACGATTACAATCGGACGAGCCAATTAAACGTCCTAGCTCCCCTATTGAATCATTATCACCTCCATTAAAAAAAATTGGCCAAGCAATTAGACAATTACCAAATTTGAATAATAGTACTAATAATAATAATAATAATAATTATAATTATAATTATAATGGTAATTTATCATCACCGACTACAATGACGACAATGACATTAGAACAAAGACGAAGACGAAGATCAAATTCTGCTGAATCTCTAGAAATCAATATTTTACCAAGTAGAAAGTACAACAACTACTACAACAATGACCATAACAATCAATCAATACCATCACCTAAAGGTTCAATTGGTAGTCATCATTCAGATTCAGATAAAAGAAATAGCACCAGGCAAAGTAATCCTATTGTAATGCCATCGTGGTCTGTTAAAACAACATCAACTAACATGATTCTTACTAGTGATAACAATAATAATAACAAAATCAATAGTAGTGATGAAAATAATAATATTATGCTAATGACACCTCTTTCACCTCCTCCACGTGCATCACCAAAATTTCAAAGACCTACTCTATCTGAAAGATCAATTAGTCAAGATGATAAATCTAGCAATACACAAATTGATAATAAGACATCAAGAAGATTATTGAGATTATCGTCGTTACCGAATAGCTATGAGACAACAACGATTCATGATGAAATCGTTTCGTTTGCCTCTCCGACTAATGATGATAATATACAACCACCACCACAAAAAACAAAAAAACGTAGAAATAAAAATAAAAACAAGCCAATCACTCAATCGTCAAGTCTTTTATCAACATCAGCATCTACATCATCACTCAATTCACTGAAAAGAATATCAATTACCGAAGAGGATGTAAAACTGAATAACATGTTAATAATGAAATCGCAATCACAATCATCATCATCAACATCATTGTCATCATCAACATCAACATCAACATCATCATCAACATCAACATCAACTAGATCATCACCACCTTCTCAGCCATCCCTAACACCATCAACACCATTAACGCCATCAACATCATATAGTAATTCAACGAGCTTACCACATCGTCTTCATTATAATCATCGATCAAGTTTTGTAGATTTTCCCAACAAACCAATTCCCCAATTACTGCCAGCACGTTCAAAATCACAACCTCATTACACCATATCTAAAAAATTTCTACGTCGACATTTTTCATTAACCACTGTGGACATAAAATCTTTACCGCCGCCTACACGTCCTCCAAATGTTCCATTGCCTCCAATTCCACAGAATCAACAAGAGTTAGACTCACAATCACAATCACAATCAGAATCGCAATCACGATTGCAGAATGAGTCAATAGCGGAAATTCAATCACAGCCACCACCATCATCGATATCAAAATCAACACCCAAAGAAACAAATAATGATTCATTAATTGATTCAAAAGAAAAATTTGCAACTAATTACACTGATGAAGATAATATTGATCCATATTACGCAAAAGAGTTGTCAGCTTCATTGAATAATAATAAAATAGAGAAAATAGTAGAAAATGAAGAAAATGAAGTTGAAAAGGTTTCTAGTTCAGAAACTCCTTATGATGATAATCAAAAAGATGATATTATAGAGGAAGATATTACTAAATTGCCAGCGTCTGAATTAACCTTTGTGGTTGTTGAGGAAACAAATGGTGATGGTGAAATAATATTAAATCTTCAGGATGTAAATGAGATAAATAGTAACAATAATGATGACAATGAGGATAGTAGCGGATCAGTCAAAAGAGTTATTAAAGATGATTTTGATGTCATTTCAGGAAAAGCTAATCACAATAATAATCTTCTCGTTACATGATCATCTTCAATGTAAATTTTTACATCTTAACATTTAATTTTACGCATTCAATTTTAATCATTTCATTTACATATACATAAATAATATATAAATGTGCGTGTGTTAATTTTTAATGTTTCTTTTGTATAAAATCATAGCTTATTGTATTATTGTATTAATATTTTTTGTTTAAAAATTATTTTATATTTATTTATTTTTTCATTACTCTAAAAAAAAATTACATTTACTCAGAAAATAAAATTATCAGCAAGTCTTTCTATATTTAATAACGACAAATCTAATAAAAATAATTTAAATAATGTATAATTTTTAATATTCTTCATAATCTGGTACAGTTGAGTCGTGGGATTCTAAAGGATAGTATATTATTAATATTGATTTTGTTAATAATAATCTTTAAATAAAAAATAAAATAAAAGTAATAATTAATTACCATTATGATTACAAATGATTGTTAGTTTGTTGGAATTTACAGGTTGAGGAAGATTTGTAAAGTTTAATAACCTGCTGGTGTAAATAGCATTTGGATGTATAATTGTCGTTATTGTTGAAGGATCAAATTCAATCTTATCCATTTTATCAAATGATTCTCTGATTGACTCTGTTTCACCGATTTCTTCACCAGAATATCTATGATGATTCTTTATGGTATTTATATCATCAAGTGACTTGTACCAATATTTGATAATTTCTCTGATTTTTTTTGCAGTTGGTCGGTTACTAGGATCAGCATCCATGCATCTGTACGCTAATTCGATATAAAATTTAGGAGTATTGTTGGAAAATCCAGGTCTCTCACCTTCACATATTTTAATTGCAAGATCTATATCATGTGCAATAGTACTAAATGGCCGTCGGCCTGTTGACACCACTGACATTAACACTCCAAAACTGTATATGTCAGATTCTGTTGTAAATGGTTTGCCATTTAGCACTTCTGGTGCAATATATGGCAGCACTCCACAAACATTATTCTTATTCGACGACAACGACGATGACGACGACGATGATGAGGTCTGATCAACTGGACAGGAGGATAATCCTAAATCTGCAATGAATGCAAAAACTTCCAGTAATATATTACCACTATGGAAATCATGATGTACGATATTTTTTGAGTGGATGCTTTGTAAACCATCAATTATATCCAAAAGGATTAAAATTTTCCTGGACCAATTTAAAGTTTTAAATTCTTTTGATAAATAATTATGAAGACTTCCATCTTTTATATAATCGATTATAAATATATATTCTTTTGTAGTCGGATCTTGTGTCAATCCATAAATATGAACTATTCTATGATTTTTTTTATAAAATTTAACATAATTTTTGAACTAAACAAAAAAAAAATTTTTTAAATGTGTGCGTGTGTGTAAGTGTATTTAATTATTAATAATAAATCTTTAAAAAAAAAAATAATTGAATAATAATTTTACCTCGCTTAAAAATTCTTTTGAAATATTTTGAGAATTATGCAGTTTTTTTAATGCTACAACTCTATCTTCACAACATCTTTTTCTGGTGTCAATATTTACATACCTACAACCATTAGTCCATGTAGCTTTGTACATAGTTGTAAAACCACCTTCGCCTATCTTTTCAACATCTTTTAATACTTTGTAAGGAACCCACTGAAGATAATTATCATTACGATAAATAGATGATTTGTGTTGAGTACTTTTAATTAATTCATCCAACATCTCATTACCACTAGTCCATCCTCGAGTTAGTAAATATGGATCACATGTTTGACACCATAAAACCGCAGTATTATATTTATTACAAGTTAAGCACTTGCCATACTCTTCTTTTCTTTTATCCGAATACCTATCAATCTTACTTGCTTTATCTTAAATTGATGTAGATTAAATTGTGCAATTTAAATAAATCAAATTAATAAAATTCAAAATTTCCAAAAAAAAAAAAAAAACACATCAAATGGTGAGTTTTTTTTTTGGGCAAATAGTATTGTTGTTGAATATTTACCAATTTTTTTAACTAAATGTTCATCATCATGAGTGTCGATAGAATTAATATTCTTTTCTTCTTCAGTTGAAGCCTTTTGATTTTTGAATAATTTTTTAATCTTATACATTTTTTATTTTTTTATTTTTTTTTTTAATAAAAAATTTTTTTTCCAATTTAAATAAAAATTTGATAAATGACTCCGCCATTTTGTGATGAATGAAGTCACAAGGCGCGAACAAGTTTTCCATTATTAATTGAATAAATGAATGTGTGTTACTTGATGTCGATGATCCTAAAAGGTGTTTATATTAATTATGAACTTTCGCCGCCGCCTAACATCCGTGTTGCGGCTCATAAATTAATGCTATTATCAAGCTTTATCCCGTTTGGGTTATCGTTATGTTGTATATAGTCGATACTGTTTGCCCTTTCATTTCAAGCAAAATATAAAATGTTTTGGCTTGATATTTTAAATTGGTATTTATATATGGTTGAATTTTCGATAGGTTCTCGGAAATAAAAATTAATAGTAATTTTCTAGAAGTTTAAAAAACAGTGCCCTTTTTGTCACACTCTACCTTTAATAAGAGGAAAACAAATGTTGTTATAAACGTTTGGTGGTCTTAAAGGCCTTTTTGAATAAAAATTTTGAGTTGTAGAATTATTATTATTTGTCATAGTAAAAAAAATATATATTATTTATATTTCAATTGAAACTATAGTTGGCTCGGTCTAAAGACCTCCTAAGTTTTGCATAAATTTTAAAAGTATAGAAGTCACTTTCTGTCCTAT